AGGAGACTGGGAAGGAAAGCATCCAGAATAATCCATGTAATCTGACTCACTATACAACAAACACTCGTCAGTTGTGCCGACTTAAAATACTGCAGCTAATAATACTGCGTTCAATGGCGTCTACCCACCTTAGTGAAACTGCATGGGTAATCTGAACCCAGACTGCTAGATGTAAAGGACAGGCCTCTTATTTTTTTTCTGCATATTTTTGACAAGAACCGCCCACTTAGACGGGATGAGACTGCTTGATTGACAAGCGAAGCGACCAATCACAGTTTGCCGTATTTATGTGTGACATTCAGGGCAGGAAAATCTGAAGCATCTCTATTGTTGAGATCTTTCACATCTCAATAGTCGTTTAAACGATAAGCGATTTGACATTATCGAGTATATCGCAAAAAACAAACAAAAACACGCTCAGAGACTGTCTGCATGCATACACAATGAGATGAAGATTAGACCACTGCATGAGCACATTTAGTTCACGCTTTCACTGCGTGATTTAGTCTATTAAAATATATTTAGCCTAGATATAGTTAATCTGATATATAGTTAATATCACATAAAGAGTTTTTTCTCCAAATATCAGCAAATATCCAAAGACCGGCTCGAAGACTTGGAGGGCAAAACATGCATAGAACTGCAGCACAAGCCTGTCAATTTTCCATCCGTTTCCCAGCCGCAAATATTTAGATCACCTCTCAAAAGAATAAAACAAAGGTATGTGTGAACAAAATGCAAGTTTTGGCCATTTGCAATCCATATGAAGCACCCGCGGCAATATTTCAATCATTAAACAGTGCGACAAAACGTTGTACAAACACTTAAAGTGCCTTAACATATTTAAAACCGTAATATTAAAAGATAAAATTCAGTAATCACCATATTAATGATGCATAGTTTACATAGTCAAGCAGATGAGGCCGGAATATGAACGCAATCTGCTTTATGGTTCAGAGTTTTCCTTATAATGGTTTTTTATGGGAAGCCATTTAATGTGAAACTTTGCACATTGTGTTTATAATCTGGGTTTATCTGCTTGCCTGTACAAAATATACATCATCAATAAGGTGTGAACTGAATTTTGCCTTTTAATATCTGCGTTTTACTACAATACTACTTAATGCAATCTGCGTAAAAATAACTGTCGGTCAGTGGAGCAAAGCTTCGTTTTGCTCTCCAGGTGGGCGTTCCTATATAAGGGTGTGACGTCACGTGAAAACTATCAATTGCAAATGTGACAGACTTTATAAAATAGTCTAATAAACAAGTTAATATTAATTGACTTACACTTTATACACAACGGTTCCTGTTTTTGCTTTATTTCGTCAACAAAAATAGTTACAAAAAGCCACAGCAGAACTGTTTTGCGTCTCTGTTTAGTTACTTAATCAGTCAACCGTTTAAACGAATCGGTTGAATGAATGATTCAATGACTCACTCATGCAGTGATTTGCCGCGACCTACTGGTGATTTTAGCTTTATATTTAAAGTATATTTTCCTTTTATTTTTCCGAAAATCTTTTCAAAAACCAGTATTCAACGTTTTTTTAAATTTTTTTATATCAAAACATTATTTATGCATTTGTAACTGCAGGTTAATTGCATTCATGTCCTGCATTAAACAGTCTGTGTAAATGCATCTAAATGCAGATTCAGTGCCAAACAAATTTTGTTGATACTGATTTAATTTGGCCCTAGAGTGTCTTACTATTTGAATTTATTGATTAAATTTAAGAATCACCTACTGGCGGTTTTAATTTCACATTTAAAGTATCTTTTCTTTTTTTTTTTATAATTTCAAATATCAGTATTCAACGTTTTATATTTAAAATATCAAAACAGTATTAATGCATTTGTAACTGCAGGTTAATTGCATTCATGTCCTGCATTAAACAGTCTGTGTAAATGCATCTAAATGCAGATTCTGTGCCAAACAAATTTTGTTGATACTGATTTAATTTGGCCCTATAGTGTCTTGTTAAATGTAAGAATTTGACTCAAAAGATGATGCACACTTTTAGAGAAAAAAAAAGGCTTTATAAAGTTAAAAATGCCCATAAAATGTAAAAACCAATTTAAACTTATTGGAACAGATTCATTTCTATCACTGCTGTGAACTAACCAGCACACAGAATATGAAGGATATCAAAAAACAGTTTTACACACACACACACACACACATACCATGGTCTTAAAAAAGGTAAAAATGCCCATAAAATGTAAAAACCAATTTAAACTTATTGGAAAAGTTAATTTCTGTTACTCCCGCAAACTAACCACCGCACAGAATCTGAAGAACATCAAAAGCTTTGGGAGTCAGCTGTCCACGGCAGTCCTAAACCTGCCAAGATAACAAGCTCAGCAAAATATCATTAAAATAGGTATCATATATCGCACACCCCTACTTTGAATGCTAGCTTGCTATTGCTAACCTCTTCGAAATCGCCTACCCTATCTTTAATAATTGCAATCCTAAACCTAACAGAAGTAATGCTATTTATATGGCACTTCTTCAGCAGGTTTGGATGCACTGGTGCAAATGCATGCAAAGGCCTTCACCACACAGTACGTGTTGTTCTGCAGCAGGGGGATGGGATGGACCAGAGCCGCGCTGGCAGAAAGCCTCTCTAGCATTTACTGAGCTCCTCATATTCCTATTGTCTCTTCACGGGTACGACTGGACAGATGAGAGGCGAGTCCGGTCGCTTTCCCACCTGTGCTCGACAGATCCAGATCTGGTTTCTGAGAAATTACCATCAGTACGGCATGCTAAATGTGACCTAAGATGGGCAAAATCCTTCTTATTGTACATTTTGCCCAGCTGGGCATGTCTAACGTCGCATTAAATAAACATGAGAATAGCGGGTGTGTCTAATAGGTCAGATGTGGTGTAACAAACCAAATTACTGTTTACCAAAAAGAATTGGATTTCAAAGAGTGTACAGAACAAGCATGTGCAATCTGCAATAATAACTTGCATGCAGTGAAATAAAACTCACCGAATTTGACCTTTGAGTGTTTATGTGCCTGGATTATAGGCTAGATAAGAATGATTTGTGATTAATTAAGCTGGAAGTAACACCACCTTCTTGAAGCATAAAACACAATGCAGTAAGAAAACATTATCCTTCATAAAACTCAGTTGACTTAACCTCAATTGTGCCAATGAGTCATGCAATCCTGAGTGAACCAGATGCAACATGACGCCATTCACCCTATATTAACGTATTACTACCAAAGATTCGTCCATAAAATGATTTTTATCATTATTTATTCGACATATTAACCTGGCTAGATTGTGAGACTGGCGTTTCTTTCAGAAGAAAGCACAATGAGACACGCATATGGAGGGTCACATTTGATTCGAATGAATCATGATGCACATTTCAAGATAACTCTTTGTTTTTCAGAGGGAGACGATGAGGATAGTTAGTTATTAAGCTGTCATCTGATGCCACACGCTTTGCTATCACAGAAAAGTGATGGAACTATGACTCATTTCAGACTTGAATCAGTTCTTTTGAAAAAAGAATCGTGAATTGGTTCTTTCGAACACTTTGCTTCGATGAACCCATTCAAATCAAATAACGAATCATTGGTTCTTTGCGCAAAACCTGTGGTTCCTGACATTGTGGCACCTAAACGTTCCCCTTGAGTTTCAAAACGTCTTTGTTTTAGAGTTTTAAACCATGAACCGAACTAACCAGCTATGATGCGATTCACAACATTACAGTCTTTGATTTGAAGCAAAAGACAAAGGTACAAGACTGTGAACTTAATGGCTTTTTAATGAGGCATAAAGCTTGGGGAATAATTGAATTGAAAATATAGATAAAATATTGATTTAAAGATGGTGTTTAGGTATATAGAAAGAGCATATTCTCAGGTTTATTGCAAAATATACAGAAATATTATAAGTGCTTAATGGGAGTGGTTGGACGTTACAGTTCTTTTGCCATGATTTACTGTTTCTATTCTCTGATTGGTGGAGATTTTCTGCAGAATCATGGGTAATGTAGGCCTAGTTTTTCACTAGGAACATTGCGGTTAATCACTATTATTTAAAAATTACGTTGAAATAATGCATACTGATGGCTTCAACAAAATCATATAGCATTGATTAACAACCTTGTAGCTTACAGTAAAGTCTGTTTATAATAGTTTTTAGGATGTTGTTAAAAATCAATTCCCCTATGGAAAAAATGAATGGGATTTTTACTTCCGGAACCGACTGTTACACCAATAATAAGAGTCGTTATTGTAATTCCATGAGTTTGTAGTATGTTAAAGCAGCTTCATCTTATAAAAAAAGCTATTTAGTTGAGTGGTTTATCAATCCGGATCACGATGTGTTCGATGTAACGGTTCTCGAGTTGATGCGGTTCAAAAATAACGGTTTCTCGATTCAAATAACTGCTCGACCGATTCAGTGCGGTTCGTGACGAATCACTTAATCCGATTCAAACGATTCACTGAACCGATCCGATTCAAAAGAACAACTGGCTCACGAATCGATATCACAGACTCCATCATGGACACAACAGTGGACGTACTAAAATAGAGATGTTTAGGCAGTCAACATAAGTCGTTAGTCCTGCCACACAATAGGCAAATCCCGTGATAATTGTGAAACTGAAACGTCTATTCGTGTATTGGGCAATCAGTGATGTTAGGCCTGGCAAGTGTCGTTTTGCATCAGAAAACGTTTCGGTGAGATCCAGGGAAAGTGTCGCATGAATGCCAACGACTAACGTTAATTAAACTCGCCTAAAGCAGGTTAAACAACACTGATAGCCGAATAGCATCCCACGTCCAGCCCTATGAAACCAATGCATAAGGAGTCTGCGCAGGCCAGTCAATGCATCCACATAGGGATGGACGTGGATTCAGATCCCTCGGTGAAAATAAATCACGTTAGCCTGGCGAATTACACATCAGTTTGTGTTTGAGAGGGTAATGCGACTTGGCACCGATGGGCTCTGGTGTATTTTATTTACCTTGCGTTTCCTGGTTTCGACAGAGCCGCTCCACACAAAGCACTGGTATATGAGGCGCAGATTCTGCTTCCAGTTGTCCACTTTGAACCCGTTCACATGGGAGCACCCTGCGGGACTCATGACAGAAACCACATCCGAGTTCCTCTGTATTTCGGCGATGAAATAAGCTCAACTGAAGTCACGAGGAGAATTAACGTTATCCACCAATTGTTCCGTTTTGCCAGGCAAAGCAGCGAGCCACGACAGAGTCGAAGATGCGTGCCTTACACATGCGGAGAGCGTTTCTCGATGCCCTCGCTGCATGAAAATGCCATCCCTGACGAGAATTAAGCACGCAAGCTTGTGGTAAAACTGAGCTCACTTTGATATTGTATTTTCCAAGTCGGCTGTTTTAATGGACGGCAATGGAATTCAACTGAGCACCGTGGGCGGGCGAGGTTAAACGCCGATTGGCGGATGGCTTGCGGTCCGTTGCTGCGATTGGCCAGCGCCCGTGCCATTTCCGTTAAACTCCCGCCCGCTTTCGAGAACTCTCAAATGTGATTGGCTGGCGCGGCCGCTTGTCTTTTTTCAAAGACTTGTACGCCGCAGGAGCGCCTGTGATTGGCTGCGTCGCGCCTCGCGTCGATCGTTCTTTTCTTGTTTGTTATGTCATTCAAGTAGAAAACACACGGTCCACATGTCTACCTGCATTCAAGTTGTGAAATTGGAAATCGGTGTTGTCATGAGTGTGAGATGCAGCGTGAAAGTGGAGCGTCTCTTTCTGCTGATTGTAAATATTAATGCAAACGGAAGCAGAATATTTAATAAGGACTGGTTGGATAGATAGCTGGAAACTAGACATCATGAATGCTGTTAAAAAACTTTTTCAGAAAGACATTTATCATTACACACTCTCACATTCTCTACATTCACATACACTGCTGTTTAAAAGGTTGGAATCGGTAAGATTTTGACATTTTTTGAAAGAAATTATTGCAAGGATGCAATAAATTGATAAAAAGTCAATACATTTAAAAAGTTGCAAATAAATGCTGTTCTTTTGAATTTTCCATTCATCAAACAATCCTGAAAAAATTGCATCATGTTTTCCGCAAAAATATTAAGCAACACAATAACAGTTTTCAACATTTATAATAATAATGATTTGGTTTCATGAGTTTAAAATTTAGTGTATTAGAATGATTTCTGAAGGATCACATGACACTGAAATAAATTACATTTTAAAATATATTTAAATACAAAATATAATTTTTATCAATGGTTTGATTTTTTATTTTTTTTGTTAAAGCTTTTTAAAATGGTTGTTAAAGTCTTAGTAATTTTGTTTGTTTTGTGCCATTAAACATGAACGCTGTTAAAAAATTTTTTTTTTTTTTTTTTTTTTGTTTACATATGAGTGACACTTTTGTCATGAACATTTTAGACCGAAAAATAAAATACAAATATGATGTTTTGCTTAAATAAAAAGAAGCCTGTTTGCAGCTAAACTTACATTTAATAATAAATTAATAATTAATAATAATTTATGCATTTAGCAGACGCTTTTATCCAAAGCGACTTACAGTGCATTCAGGCTATACATTTTTTACCAGTATGTGTTTAATTAAATAAAAAAAAATTAATTAAATTTAATAATACAAACTTCAATTTTATGATCTAATTTAGACACAAGAATATAAAGCATTCCTCTCAAAAAATAAATTAAATAAGATTAAATAAAAAAGCATGCCAAAATCTTTAATGAATTGTTTATAATTAATATTACAGTAGTTATTTGAAATTTAACCTCAATTTTATAGTCTAATAGTGACACAGGAATATAAGAATAATTTCTCTCAACATTCCAATAATTAATTGTTTATAAGATATATTACAAAAAATAAATAAATTGAAATTTAACACAAATCTCAATTTTATGATCTAATGCGTTAGTGACTATACAATATTATAAAATCAAGAAACGCATCGATATCATCAATAAATTGCTTATAAACAATATTACAAGAAAATGAAGCCTCAGTAAAATTGAAATTTAACAAGACTTTATGATGTGATGTGGCAGAGACAACAAGAAACACCCCAAAATAATAATAACAAAAATTGTTTATAAATAATATTACAAGTAAGTTCATTCAAATTGACCAAGACAACCCTCACTTTTATGATCTTATGTGGCAGAGACACAGGAATATAAGACTTTCCTCTCTGATAGCTTTAATAAATTGTTTATAAATAATATTGTAAGGAAACGAACCCTATTAAACAAGACAAACCTCAGTTTTATGATATATTTTGGCAGTGACACAAGACTTTCCTCTCAAGAACAACACAGGATCATTGCAAATTAAATGTTTAGAAATATTACAAGATTCATGTAATTGAGTAATGACCAGTGTTGGGGAAAGTTACTTTTAAAAGTAATGCGTTACTTTACTAGTTACTTGAAAAAAGTAATCTGGTTACTTGTAACTCGCGTTACTTGTAATGCGTTACCCCCAACACTGGTAATGACACCCCAAAATCAAAAATAAATTTTTTTAATATTACAAGTCAATATTCCCATAATTTTCTAATTTTTTAAACCCCGTTTTGGTGGCATCCAGGCTCCAGTAGCAGTAGTTTCTAGGGATTTGATGAGTTATCTATTTACGGTAAAGCCCAAAACATGAGAGACCTCTAGAGAGGCTTCTGCTGAATCACCGCAGGAACGTTCGGCTCCAGGCTGAAGAAAACATTCGATCAACCAACGCATTACTGGGTTAGCTTGAGACCGTCTTTGGGTGAAAGAGCATGAAATTAGAGAAGCTGTCAGTCTTTGAGCCGTGGAAAGATCACATGAATGTCAATGCACTAAACGGAGAAGATACATTTTAGAGATGAGAACACACGGCATAATATTCCACTGTCTGCACGGGTTGTTTAAATGATGGTTTCTTTATTTCATTCTGTGGGGTTGCAATAAAGACAAGTATACAAATGCAATTTCCACAACTGTTTTGAACAAAGAAGTCCAGTATCTTTATTTGTATGACCATAAATGATGCAACCAAGCATTGATAAATAAACACTGACAAAAACAAGTTGTTGATTACGGTGCGCTGTGACAGAACCAGAAAAAAAGATCATTCCACACATTTATGTTTTCCTCCGATATAGTCCAACTGATTTTGCTCTTTAATGAAGGTCTTCCAGCGTTGGGGTGAGGAAGGGGACGTGAGCAAAGCAGCGATCCGCCCAACGGTCTCAAGAGTAGCTTGACGTCTTGCTGCCGACGTCATCCTCTTGCATTCCCATACTCTGAAACACAGAACAGACCACCTGCTTATAAAAGCTCGTCCTTTAGAAGCCTGTAACTGGATTGATGATTCATGAGCTTGTTCAGACTAGTACCTTTTGCACAAACTGGGGGTTTACAGTGATCTCTTGATCCATGGACTTCAGTTTTTCATCTACCTCTATACATTTCAGCATCTGCATCGGAGTCAGGACAGATAACAGTGAGGCATCAGTGGATAACACTACAAAACGACTGTCATTAATGCAGTGGTGCATAAACATTATACTGTGCACAATCTGAAATATTTTACATTTCTCAAACTCCTAATACCTGCAGCGTATTATGAGAGTTAAATTAGATTTTGAACACCACAACTTTAATGATTCATTTAGAATATATACAGAATATAAAATAAATGTTAAGTTGTAATAACATTTCACAACATCTGTTTTACTGTATTTGTAATATATTTATATTATTTTATTGCTATAACAAATAAAACAAAAAATAGGAATAGTTATTTTAAATGGTAATTTTTCACAATATTACTGTATTTATATTATTGTTATATTATAATAAATAAAAAATAATCATTTAAAATTGTAATAATCTGACACAATATTACTGTATTTACAATAATATATTTACTTCATTATATTACAATAAAACAAATGATAGAAAATAAAAATTTTATTTTAAATTGTAATTATTCACAATATTACTTTTTACTGTATTTATATTATTATTTTATTATATAATGGGAATTAATAGTTATGTTAAATTGTAATTTTTCGCAATATTACTGTATTTATATTATTGTTATAATAAATAAAAAACGATCATTTAAAATTTTAATAATCTGACAATATTACTGTTTTACTGTATATACAATAATATATTTACTTCATATTACAATAAATAATAGCAAATAATAGAAAATAAAAAAGTTATTTTAAATTGTAATTATTCACAATATTATTTTTTTTTACTGTATTTATGTATATTATTGTTATATTATAATAAATAAAAAACGATCATTTAAAATTTTAATAATCTGACAATATTACTGTTTTACTGTATTTACAATAATATATTTACTTCATATTACAATAAATAATAGCAAATAATAGAAAATAAAAAAGTTATTTTAAATTGTAATTATTCACAATATTACTTTTTACTGTATTAATATTATTTTATTATATTATAATAGGAATTAATAGTTATGTTAAATTGTAATTTTTCGCAATATTACTGTATATTATTGTTATATTATAATAAATAAAAAACGATCATTTAAAATTTTAATAATCTGACAATATTACTGTTTTACTGTATTTACAATAATATATTTACTTCATATTACAATAAATAATAGCAAATAATAGAAAATAAAAAAGTTATTTTAAATTGTAATTATTCACAATATTACTTTTTACTGTATTAATATTATTTTATTATATTATAATAGGAATTAATAGTTATGTTAAATTGTAATTTTTCGCAATATTACTGTATATTATTGTTATATTATAATAAATAAAAAACGATCATTTAAAATTTTAATAATCTGACAATATTACTGTTTTACTGTATTTACAATAATATATTTACTTCATATTACAATAAATAATAGCAAATAATAGAAAATAAAAAAGTTATTTTAAATTGTAATTATTCACAATATTACTTTTTACTGTATTAATATTATTTTATTATATTATAATAGGAATTAATAGTTATGTTAAATTGTAATTTTTCGCAATATTACTGTATATTATTGTTATATTATAATAAATAAAAAACGATCATTTAAAATTTTAATAATCTGACAATATTACTGTTTTACTGTATTTACAATAATATATTTACTTCATATTACAATAAATAATAGCAAATAATAGAAAATAAAAAAGTTATTTTAAATTGTAATTATTCACAATATTATTTTTTTTTACTGTATTTATACTATTATTTTATTATATTATAATAAACAACATTTTATTATCTTTGTGTTTATGAACTTTTTATGATCTTCTGACTATTATTTGTTGAACATTATATAATATATTGAGTTTTCTATGTATGTTATTAATGTTTCTCTCAAATGTCCTTGAAATATTAATGATTAAGAAGATTAAAA